GAGGGGTGGGCAGGGAGAAAAGTGCAACAATGAATGAATAGAAATCCAAAATATCTGTAAATGTTCATTAAAATTAATAAAATAATTTTTTTAAAAAAAAAGAAAGAAAAGCCTGACAATCTACTTCCAAAAAACCTGCCTGTGAAAACCCTGTGAAGCACACGTCTACCCTGACGCACAGAGGATTGCCATGACTTGGAATCCACTTGATGGTAACTAAGGTTTTGTTTTATAACATGCTGATGTGCAGAAGTAGGCCAATGTATTGCAAAAGTCCTCAGGATGGAACCAAAATAGAAACTTTAAGTATGTACAAAGAGGTTTACAACTTATGTTATAAGCAAAGAAAAAGAAAGAGTATAATGATTAGTAAACCTCAGAAACAATTCCAGGGAGCAAACTCTAGGGATAGGCATAGGTGATGTGGCCTACCAAGAACTATAATACTACCTTATGTTAGAAGACATACAATAGCAGATAGAAAGCTGTACTGTAAAGCAACAATAATTCATAAAATATAACACTGTAAAAAAAGATAAGACAAACAGAGTAGAATCCAGAAACGGGCACAATAGCAATTAAGTTATGGAGAGACTTTTCCATAAATACTGTGGGGAAATCTTGACTCTTATACCTCATACTAAATATAAAAATTAATTTTAAAAGGACCACAAACCTAAATGAAAAATAACACAGTATTTCTAGAAATATGAACCTGAAATGTGGTCTTAGGGAAACTTTAAAAAATAAATAAACATGTGGTTGAACAGTGGAAGAAGAGAAATCTTTTTTATAGGGTATCAAAGAATTTGTCTGATTTACATTCAAACGTTTGCTGGAGACAAGGGCTTGTAAGTGGTGAATTTGGGGATCTTGCTGAGAAGATTTCTAAGAAAGATCTTACAGGGGTCATGTGGTTTCTTCTTGCTGTAAACAGTAAAATGTAAGAGGAAGGAGACAGACTTAAGAGTGAACTGTGCAAAAGAAAACATAATTTAAATATTTGGCAAATTCTGTTGTACAAACTGAAGACAGATATAATGTTCACCAAAGATAGGGCTATACAATGTCACTGTCCCCATGAGCCTAGAAGGTGAAGGTGAAGCTGAAACCTAAGGTCAAAGAACTTCCATTCAGAAGCCAAAGGCACTGGCCAAAATCTAGAGTCTGGAGAGTGGGTTCCAAAGAACTGGGGATCATTTCAAGCTTTGAGAGCTAATAGAAATAGTTCTCCTCAGTTTTGGACTGGCTTGAACCATCATCCTTTCAGTTTCTCTTATTGTAATAAAAATATTCACCTTATGTCTAGTCTAGCTTTGTATTTTGGAAGTGCCCATCAACAACCCAATGGATAGAGAAGCTGTGGTATATTCACACAATGGAATACTATGCTGCATTGAAAAACAAGGAACTCATGCAGTATTATTCAAAATGGGTGACCCTGGAGGACATTATGCTGAGTGAAATATCTCAGTCACAAAAGGACAAATACTACATGATGCCACTGTTGTAAAGCAGGACTGACCTCAGGGTTGGGAGGAGACTGAGAAGGATGGGTTCAATAACATATACTGCATTGAAACAGATGAGGGGGAAAACTGTTTAAGAAGGAAAATTATTAGGTATTTTTGTCATGACAAGAGTCCAGAG